CTCGACGTACCTAATAATAAGTTATTTGTTATAACAACAAACATAACAACTTATCAAGGAAAACAAAACTTCGCCGTCGCGCCAATACAACAACGCTGTTTGACTTGACAGTGACACTTTTGATGACAGTTCACCTTCTATTTGCCCGTCGTAGTGTTATCAACAATTAATCTAAATCTCTCTGACTATAACTGATTTGTCAACATACGAAAGATTGATAATTAGAAAATAAATGTTTTATTTTAATATAATTAATTAAAAATAAAAGTATAAATCACGTGGGAATATCTAATATTTAAAATATTTTCTAAGACTCAGCGTCTGCCTGTTTACCAAACCCGATTACCGGGAAGTTCATAAAGTTGACAACACTGCTTTCACTTAAAGAAAGCCATCTTGAAAATAATGCAAATAAAATCGAAATAATTACTATTTAGACCCAAAATATTAACCCCACATTTAATTTCGATCAAGATAACTAAGAAAAGTTAAAAAAAGATTTCATAATTTATGGGTATATTTTTGTGGCTATACAGTTATCTTCTATAGCGATACTGATTTTGGGCAATCTCCTTTATTAGCTCTCTGGTGTAATACTTTTATGTGTCGGAAGTCTAAAAAGTGCAAGTTACATATTACAAGCACATGAATTAAGCAAATATGACTTGGATTTCTAATAAAACGTTATTTTAACAACCGGTATTTATTTAACTAAATTATTTCCACGTACAAATTATTATGACTGGAATTCGTTATGCATTTATAACGTTTGAAGGTCAGTATCGATTAAATCATCAGTTTCTAATACCTACAGCTAGTCTTAGAACATTAGAATCTTAAAATTCATGACTATTAGCACTCTTGCTAATGACTGCAGTATTGCAAGGTACTTTACCAATTAAACTAGTCAATTGATGGTTCAGCGACTTCTCGTTAACAATGCGTACAACTGTATCTTCTCCGCACTCCATAATCAAGACAAATTGCAGATATTGTTTCAGCAAACCAGCCCGAAACTGGGTTAATTTAAACTGTCAAATACCAAGCGGTCACCGGTGACCGCGACCTATTGTTCTTTAATTGTGTCTATAAAACCGGTACTCGACGAGTTAATAACACCAAGTAGGTTATAGTAACATTATTCAATCAAAAACATATTAGTTGCAAGCGATACTTTACCGAAACGTTGACCGTACTTTGGTCAATCAGCACCTAGTGGACACAAAGAGTTGTCACTCGTGTACCTATCAACTATTTAAACCAAAGAAAGTAATTGCACTCACCGATAGCCGCTGCTCTTCGTTCTCTTTTAGTACTACACTTCCAAAATTTCATTTTTATCAAAATCGTGTTTCGTAAGAGGTCACCAAATAGTGAGATGACACCACGCGCGCCCGCTAAGGCAAGTCGCCATCGTCAAACTGTCCGGTTTAGTCCGAAACAATGACTTTTGTTTACAAATGAACGACGCGGAGGATTTATTAAATTGTCGAGTGAAGTGGCCGGCTGCAGGAGACCAATGAGCCGAGGCAGAACGAGTGCGACGAACGTACACCCCCGGCGGACAATCTCCGGTTGTAACTCAGCACCGGACTATTGGAGGATGGCGTGGGAGCCTCGACCCCGATCGTACCTACGTCCCAAACCCTGGAATACGGGTTAATTGATACACAAAGTATAGCGTAAAAAAGTTTTATTTCTATCACATCATGTCTTCCTACAGTAATAATTTTGGAACATGGATGCCGAATGTCTTGCTAGGGGCAAATCACTACGATTCGAAGCAAATGTTTGTGAGCATCATTTAGATGGTAAATGTACGTTATGATTTGCTGTATTCGGCTTAACACTGGACTGGTGGTACAAGTTAAAATAATATCATAATTTGGTGATCATTTTATAAAATCTGCTCCGAATCTTACATGTTATTGCACTACAAAAATACATGGATAAGCATAATTTCTAGGCACATTTCTGTACTGTCTATAGGTAAATTGATAATGAATACACACTTCTATCAGTTATACATACGTAACGCTATATCTATTATAATTAAAAAATAATGTGAGATTTTACTTTCGTCTCCGATTCGAAAACTACCTACTAGTCTTGTCATCGTGAAGACATTTTTACTTGTTGTTTTTGATAAATCTGAAAATTAATAAAATACCTAAAAAGGCTTACAGAAATAACTGGTATCAATAATATTATCAGTTAAACAGTCATAATCATAAGTAAAATATCGTTGGGATAATAAATATGCCAATAATTAAAATATGTATATGCAAAGTACATAGTGTAAAAATTCATTCAAACCTTCAGGGATAAATGGCATGGCAAATTTCATGAGTAGGTTTTTTGTTTATGTATAAATATTAAATACATTTAAGTACCTGGACATTTCCATCCAGGGAGCTTACTCTTGAATCCAATTCTGATCAACTTTGATATTGTAATATTTCACTCTTGAGTTTCAACACGAGTGTTGCATCCATATTGGGTGGATATTGAATGAACTAAATGGTATTTTGAGTTTGGCTTTATAATTCATACTCTGGATGCTATTTTGAGCTTTTATTGCATTGGCTTGAAATTGACATTGAGATTAGTTTCAAGAGTAAGCTTGCTGTTCTGTTGACTTCCATATTAATCTTATTATAATGCACGATCGTGACTCTTGCCAACGTAAACAAGAACCTTGCATAATATGAACTTCAACAAAGGGGAACTGAATACATACTTGAAAATTGTACATATTATGGTTACATCACAAGTTCATTTTTGAAATTGATGTTATTGCAAGTTTGGTCACCAAGATATTATAACTAGGCACACTAGAACTCCTAGTGTTATCACTAACTACCTAAATTTGTCTGCACTTATTAAATAAATCCTTACTAAAGTATGAACTCATAGCCGAGGTCTTATAACTCAGCATTCAAAGTCAGCCTTCTTGATCGACAATTAAATAGTTTTAGAAAACTAAGTATGCTCCTTGATGTCACGAAACAAAATACATCTCTTTGAATTAAATTGTCTTTATATTATAAGCGTCCTTTCATTGTGATACACTAAAATCTAAAGTGATCAATATAATGTCACCAAAATCACAATATCGCAACACTTTTGCTTTAAAGTTTTTACACATTAGTTTGCAGTACAAGTAGTATTGCTATGTGAATTATTGCCTGCACCAGTGTATGAAGAATGATTTCACTCGACTGGAAGCATTCATTTGAATTTACCAATCAAAGTTGAGTAAATCTGTATGTTGAATGAGAGAGACAATGACAATATTTGCACACTCCAATTTGCAATAAAACATAATAAACCACACACAAGCATTAATAAAATGAAGTAGACATAATTGTGTACTACACACATGTAACAACATCCTTGATATGTAATTAAATTCAATCTGAAAAATAATTCCAATTTCTATTCATTATAAAAACCTCAGTACATTATTTGTTTTTATAATTGATAGAAACTGCATTATTTCTTGCATTTCGTAAGTCTGTTGTTTTTACTCTGTGTCTATATTCAAGTTTGGTATAAATGGATTCTCCCAAAAATGTATGCTCCTAAAATAATTTTTCTGTAGGTTATTTGGTTATGTTACTGAAAACATTCTAAAGCACTGTAATACATCACTTTTCATTAAAATCTTATATTACTTTATTCTAAATATTAATTCCGAAATTATAATCGCACGAGTTATGTCAAAATCCACATCATTTTATGAAGGCACTGCTTTTTGATACATGAAAATAATGTGTCGATCAAATTATTGTTAAATTAATTGATCGCTATTGCAAAACATTCTCCTACAAAACTGCTAGCTGTCAATACTACCCTCTTAGCAAGTGTATAGTTTTAAAACAAGCAAACTGTTTACTTATTGGTATTCAATGGTTACCGATCATAACACAAGTGTTGCTGGAATTTGAAACAAATATATTATATTTTGTTCACAAAGACGTAAGAATAGTTATGAAGAGTTATATAGAGTGTGAAATCCAGCAGAGTTTACAGAGGCGGACTTATCGACCAATCTGAGGAAGGTATTAAAAGGACCAATCTATTACTGATGCTTATTTGAAGAGATTAATGCGTGTGCATGAACCAAAAGAAGTCTTCATGCAATAAGTGTTGTTACATCGAATTCAGAAAGCATGAAAAATATCGTTTAGCTAAATATCGTTACATTTTTTCAGAGATGTTTTAGCTTTTTTTTACCTTTTCATTAAACAAGTATGTATAATATTTTACCTGACCTGCAACTTTACTGTCACACTCTGAAAACATAATATACTAAGTACGAGATTTGCTCATTGCGCAATGAAATTTATATTTATTACTTGCTACACTATATCAGTTCGCAGCCCACATCCTCATTATAAGTAATCGAAGATAAAACAAGACCTTGTAAAAACACAAATTTGCTTGTTTCAAACCAAATACTACTTGCCTTTTTTTGAGTAAATACATCCAAAAAAACTTCGTATAGTCGATCGATTTTGTAAAATTTGCTTCGGTATTCCAATATAAAAGCCACACACAAATAACACACAAGTTCTTTGGATGCATACTCAATTTCCACAAGATTCTTTCATGCTTCCCATAAAGCTACTACACAATGTCTTACTATACTCATAATAAAAATAATTTTAGTATCTGTTTCGAAAAACCACATTACATACTTCTAAAATAAACTACATAGCTAATTGCTAATATATGGTGTAAATATGATTAACTTTTATACTTACAGATAGTTTTATTAAATTAGTTTTTCAACCAATACTGAAAAGGTGTTACCTAACTATCCTTGCTAACTTATTGCCAAAGTTACGAGTGGCGTTTCAAATTAACAGAATTTCCAAGGAACCGTTTCAATTTTACAACAGTTCAGTCATCGCGAGATCTTCAGTTACGTACAAATGTTCGCATCAGCTACATTGTTTGCATTACTCGAAACTTATCGTAGTCGGGAACGGCTGTCAATGCCTGTACCAAGCTCCCTGAACACGAGTCTGGAAGTGTGAGACAGGAGTGACGATGTAGGCCTGCTGCGGCTGTTGGACGACGGCGAGGGGTATGACCTGCTGCGCCATCTCTACGGGCTGGCCGCCCTCCTCCGATACGCCCAGTGGCTGCACGCAGTGCTGCTGCGTCACCTGCTGTACTCCTTGTGTCAGCACCTGCTGGTGCTGGCTCACCTGCGGCACCAGCATCTGTTGCTGCATTTGTTGCTGCTGTTGCGGCTGTTGCTGGTGGATGACGACGTGCGCCTGGCCCTGCATCTGCTGGTGCTGCTGGACCTGCACCTGTTGCACCTGCTGTTGCTGCTGTTGTTGCTGCTGCTGCTGTTGTTGTTGTTGCTGTACTTGCTGCTGTTGTTGCTGTTGCTGCGCTTGTTGTTGCGCCTGTTGCTCTCTCTCGTGTTCTTCTTTCTTCTTAGCCTCCATAGCTGCCTTTTTGGCGTCGGCTTTTTCTTTCTCTTGCTGTAGTCTTATGGGATCTTTATTCTTATCATATGACATACACTTACCGCTGCGGAAGGGCACCATATCTTTAGGAATTTCTTGCTTCTTAGTGGCAAATTTAACGTGAGGAAATTGGTCTTTCATGAAAGCACGGAAGGTTGAATATCCCATGAGTTTTACACCTGGTTCTAGGATTTCTCCATACTCTTTGTAAGCCTCGAATAAATGTTTCCGAGAGTCTCCTTGAATGATCACAGTCTTACTGGCCTTTTTGCCACTTTCTCCAGATGGCTGAACATCTTTAGGTGAACTGGCATGTTGTTTCAAGTATTCTTTCAGGAAATTCGTAGCATGTTTGTAAATATCTAGGGTGAAAGTGTTGTATGGTTTCTTACCGACGTTACCGTGTATTCGCGGTGCAACGCCATGCGTCATTACGTGCTGCCTGATTCGTTTCAGCTGATAGTGAGTAACATTCTCAAGATACAGGAAAGCCTCTAGGCAAACTTTCCTACCTTGATATACATAACATGCTCTTAATCTCCTTCTGACTTTGTGGCGTGATGTTTCAGCTGGATTAGCCAAGCTCGCCATTGTAATGCCCATCAGGTACATATCATGTTCACTCTTAGTTAGTTCAGCAATGTTTAATCTATGCCGATAAACTGCCTCTGGGTTAAGTCCACGATAACAGTTGTCTTTACAATCACATCCTCTCCTCAGTCTTTCTTTGACCTGAAACATACATTCATAAAACTGTTATATTGAAACAAAATACAAATACTACACACAATTTCACATTGACTTGTTTCAAGAAACAGGAGGACTGAGTTATCACAATGAAACTTTTAGAATAAAAGTAGGTAATCCATAACAAATTTTTGCTACAATTTTTAATGGGTTGAGTATGCATTTAACTTAACTTAGCACATAAATATGTTAAGTATAAGTGTTGCCTAAGATAAATTGTTTTTTTTTTAAATTCAGCATTTGCATACAGATGTAGCAACTAGAACCAATATTGCTTTTCTAAAAGTAGCAAGTGACTAAATAAGTGCAGTTTTAATTCAGAACATCAATGCCTAACTCTCTGCAAACTAACAGGTTATGCATTAATCTTTTTATTGCACTTGTGTCTCGCGTTGATCTGTGTTACCGTGACCAAGTGTTAATTAAAGATTTATAGTAAAACATCTAAATACTAAATATCAGCTTGATTATACAATCAAGCAAACAAATAGATCAAACAATCAACAAAGTGATTATAGATATACATCTATAATCACTTTGTTCACATTTCAGTTAAGAGACAGTTTTTAAAGTTCTTGGTATATTTCTAGTAGGAGTTTCAACTTCTTGAGTTAAATTATAAACATGAATTGTTGATTAATGTGTATAGGTGTTAGAGTTCATACACATAATTATTAACTTGCATAGCTGCAATATTTACTAAAAAGGCTAACACAACATTTTGGAAGATAACCTCAAATATTGTTTAGCAAATAATGAAAAATCTCACCTGCGCTGGATTATCTTCCAGTTTATTGTCAAGAACTTCTTCATCACTGTCTGATTCAGCTTTTTTCTTTTTCTTACTGCCTGTTTTCTTTTCAACTTTGGGTTTTGTGTCCACTTCCATGTCTCCTGGATCACCTTCAACATGGGACTCAAACTCAATACTATATGTACCGGGTATGGCTTGCAAATTAGCATTACCATTCTCCACTTGTATTGTGTGCCCTTGCCACAAAACCTGTAAAGTAATAATCATGATTAATTAACTTATGTTTGATGGATCAGTTGCTGGTTTACAAAAAGATAATGGCTACCTGAAAATAAACAAAGAGTAATCTAGTAAATACCTGTTCTTGATGACCATTGTAGCTATGTTGTTGCATATTTTGTCCTCCCATTTCGAAGACCGAGTGCTGGCCCATGACGGGAGTATGCCATTGAGCACTCTCACCGTATTCGCCGCCTCCGTTCTGGTCGGCTGGTATGGACACAATTATCGCCTCCTTGCTGTCCACGCTTCGCCGCTCCACAGAGAGCAGCGAATGCAGCACCTCGCTAGCCTCTTTTTCAGCAGGATTCACCACTTCCATCTTTTCGTACGACATTCTGCCTGCTCGATGCTACAACCGATCGTTCACGTCAAATCACATGTACGTACATACGTGTATGTACAAAGCCACTCGACAAACCCGCCCTGATTACTACCAGAATCGACATCCCCAAGCCACAATACAAGAAAAACCGCGATAACTTTTCAAATTCATGTAAATAAACATAACAAAAACCGCGCAATTATTAACCTTAATCGCATTTTTTAAGTTTCATTATCGCATAGCGGATCGAACTCCCGTGGAATATTGGGCCATATAGTCATAGCAAAGGAAGAATAAAACTCACCTATTTCACGTAATATCGGAGACTGAGATGTATAAAACCGTATCCCCACAGTTTCTAACAGACTGTGGTTTGTTTTTTATCACTTCATTTTAATATTACAGTCATAATTAGAGAGAAATGCACAAATATTTCACTGAGTTCACGGAAGCAATATGGCGATACACTTTCCGTGAATAAAATCGGAGGACGCCGTAGAACACGTAATTAGTACAGTGCGCCACCACCAGGCGGCGCCAAGCGCGCGTTTCCGTATCGACGCTTGCCTAGCGCGGCAATTTTGAAGACAACGTTTATATTCATTCCCACAGCCGCGTAAAAGATTGGTAAATAAAAAAACAATCAGTTAATTTAAATAATAAAAAAATATTTTAGTAGTTAATATACACTGCACACTCGTAATTAAAACGGCAAAATATGGGCGTTGACTAAATTTTGATACTAAATCAGAAATTTTTAGTTTGATCTGTACAAATGTTTATTATTTTTAAGAAATTTTAGTAAACATATGAACTTTTATTATTTCATGGGTTCCTCATGGAACATGGTTTGGGTATGGTTAAAGGAAATGTTAATCAATAACCACATTTCGTAAGCTTTTGCGCTTGTATGTCTTCACTGAAGTTACTTATGTTATGACGATGACGTCAATTTAACGTTAGCCCACATAACTTTATAAATAAAATGTCAAATAAGGTCAAATATGCTTGTATTTAAAACATAACTTTTATTGAAATATGTAATTTAAGTACCTGGCAATATTATGGTGTTCCTACGTGCTATAATTATAGCAGAGATCGACGTAAAAATAAGGAGGGTCCGCAACGACGTGGAACTGAAGTAAATGGTCAACCGCCACAAAACCCTGACATTTTATTTTATTTGTAAACTAATTTTTGACGATACACTACCTACCTGCCTATATGAGGTATAGACAAATGGAGTCCCGGCTGTTCTAATAAAAATCATTTCCTTTTGACATCCGCTTCTATTTCCTAGTTAACTACGGTGCGATCTATTTATGATGTTGTTACATACCTAGTTAAGTAAAATAGGTGCAGCTACTTGGTTATATTCAGTAACGTAATTTTTTACAGGCGATAGTTAGTAGGTATTTTAGGACCAATACATATTTACGCATTTCCACGGAGGTACTTTTACACCTACTTATTTTCATCAATATGGTACGTACAATTGGAAATAAAACTAAAAAAAATACCGAAGTAAAAATTATGACGGTTCAGGTATGGTCAAAATATACCTATGTCTCTAGCTATTATATTTATTTTTCAACGCAAAACAAGGTCACACACCCTAACTGTCAAAATAGAACAACATAGTAACAGAGCAAGGTTAACACCTATTTCAATTTTTGAACATAAAATCAGGGAAAACTCAATTAGATACATACCTATAATAAATATTATTGAAATAAAAAAATAATAGGTAAATAATAATAAATTGATCATTTTATTGAAATGAAAACGATTAATCATTTCTTACAAAGAATCGTAACGGTGCAAGTAATCTAATTACCTACCAATATAATTATTATGTACAATCATTTATCGCGTCTATTTGCCCATACACTAACTTTAAACCATACATATGTGGGACAATATTTTTATTGTGATTTAATGTACCTAAATAGGTACTTGATTGTTTATTAATTCCATTCTTCCTATTTAATTTTTCGAAGGTAGGGTAGTTCTGTAATTTTAATTAGTATTACATTTATAACGTTGAACATAATGACGTCATAGTAGTGTTCATTTTTTAAATCTAGACTTATTACTCACCAGCTGCTGCGTCTAGGGCGAAGCAGCTGCTCCGAGACTTGACGACACCTCCTGGCGATGGACCATCAGGCCATTCCATTCTCTCCTCCATCGCCTTCGACGCACTCCTCTTAAATTGTTCCAAAAAACTGTCTATTTGTGTTTCTATACTAGTCGGGGAGTTGGCCATGGTTTCCACCGAAACACCGAAAACAAACACAACACGCTAACCTGCCGTTTACGACATTTTTCGTTCAAATTGTCCTTTTTTTCGTTTTCTAACACAAATCCGTATTTACAGTCTGTCTATAGTACATCGTATTGCATAATTGACCGTCATTTTTTGCCGAAATCGTTCATCGACCCGACTTCACGTTTAATAATATCAAAGAATACCGCGGAACGTCCCCGAGCATGAAAGAGACTATTGGATAGCGATGTAGGGATGTAACACGTAACCCCAAGAATGTCGATAAAATAAAGTATGGACAAATATCGATTAAAGTAAGAATGTAAAAAAGAGGAAATTGGAAGCAACAGTCATAAAGTTGTCATTTACGTATTCCACTAATGACAAATTAAGTAATTATAGCGAAGGTATTTTCAGTAATAAAGTTGGTAAAACAATAAGCTATTGGCTTATTTATGTCTCCAAATAAGTATTTGTGGGCAAGTCAAATATTCCGTTGAGATAACGTCTAAAATAATTCATATCACAATAACATTTCGTGATATTAAACTTAAAATATCGACGTTCTATTATCCTACTGGCATCCCTAGAACGAAGAGATTTTACTACGGATACCGTTATGCTATATACGGCAACGAAAATAAAGCGACACCCACTGACATCTATCGATCGCTACGAACAGCTGTTTGAGTACGTCTTACTTAAGTGTTGCCAGTTTAAATAAATTAAAAATCTCATTCTAAAATTGAATAATATAGTTCAACTTATTATTAGACTACTTTTTGAGACTAAAATGTGATGCAAAATGCTATATTTAAATAATGATACGGTATTTTTTATTTTTATGCATGCGTTGTTAGTGTACATGTGTGTGTGTTGAGTATGATGACGTATTGTTTGCGAGATAGTGTGGGTATCACCGCGGCGAGGGGGTCGCGGTCGCCGGTCGCGCACGCTGCGTGCATTAGCTAGTGCTGCGCGAAGAGCGCGTGTAGTTCGTGAACATATATCTGAGGTGACTGGAACTGTCACACACGAGACTACACCCGGCCTCATAATGTCAAGTAAGCTCCCGTACCACTATTATAATACCGGCATTTTACGTAATTTTTCATTATAGCGTTTACTTTCAATAACTTTTAATTTAAAGATACTGATGTCAATGACTAGAATTAGCGGAATTTAACTAATTGAAATGGTTTTAAAATTGTCACAGGGTAGTTAAAAATACTTTGCACAAGTAATAGTGTCGTGCCTACTTTGATTATTTTAATTGCTTTCTATTAACGAGGACTAATATATTAATTGCTAATTTTACCTACTTAGCCACTTTATTATATTTTTAAGGAAAACGTTTAAAAATAAAAGGCAAATCAGTGACTATTGCCTACCAATGTTTTCAGAAAGTAATTATGGCTAAAACTAATATTATGGAAATGCTAAGTATAAAAATAAGTTCCAGTAAGCATTAATCATGACTACTCAATGACTAGTTTTCTCCCATGTTGCAAAATTAACACTATCTTCGATTAGTTCGTAGAGCACCTACAATAACCAACATAATATCGATAAAATTAATTGAGGTAATATAGACACATATTTTTCTAGTAAAATATGTCAGGAAGCTGGATAACCTTGAATTATTCTGGTCTGGCGTGTGTCCGATATCTTTATTGACCCCACAAACAACTACGTCACAGACGTTAGCAGCAAAAGATTATCAATTGTTCTACACTTCTACTTGTACCCTACGTTTAATTTCTTTCGTATCAGAATCAGCGGTAAGAGATCGTAAACAGAGTACCGTTATCTATTACAAATACCTACATTCATAAACATCGAGCCTATCAGCTACGCGATATCAAATGTTATGGAAACTGCGGTAACATCATTCGCACATCGCACTCCATCATCAGTGCGAAAATATTTTCTAAGTTCCATTCGTTTTACTATAAAATAGGGCCTAAAATCTTTTTTTATTGTCTAAGGGATCCCCCCTTAGACAATAAAGAAGATTTTAGATTATTATTTCGGGCAATTTAATAAAAAAAGTATATAATCTGGGAATAATTATTGTGAAGTAGTGTGGTTACATGATCCTTGTATTCTTTAACTTGATACCCGACAATCAATACTTACAGACCGCAAAGGATCATCCGACCTGATTGCGGCTAATCTGGCGCCAGCCATGTAGGTTGATAGCGAATTAAAAATCTGACTTTAGATATCATTCCAAATCATTTGAATTTCATTATGCATTCAACTTTCCAGACAATGGTATTCGTTAACATGATTAAAGGATAAACTTGAATTGAATGCACCAATGAATAATTGTATTTATATTGCATGTTTAAAGTAGTTGGAATTTGCAGAACATGAAGTCGTTTAGGTTTATAGCACAATACTCAGAAAGATTTATGGGTTTCGTTCGCACGAAACTCGGATAATTCGCAAACCAGTCCCACTTTCTCTAAACAACAAGACCTAAGACTTCGGGTTTCACTTTACTCCACTGAAAATTAAATATTGGTTAAGTGAAATGCTTAACGTTGCCGGCACATAGCGTGCGCATCAGAGATGCGAACTTAGAAAGTGTGGATCACGAAGACTAGTTTTTCAGCCGAAGTATGTAGATTTTCCAGGTTTTGCAAATAGTTCGGTAGACAAGTAACAATATAAAAAGATGAACACGTCATCATTGCATTCCTTTATTCCGTTAAACGGTCGACTGCCCGCGTGGTTCCATCCCGCCGGACCGGCCGCACCTAAATAGAAACCGCAGGGACATTGCTCCCGAGCGCGCCTGATCCTGCATCTCAACTCTCGAGTGCCTTGTTGGTGCTTGGGGTGCCTTTTGCCACTAGAGTAACTCCTTGCAATAAATGAACTTGTTTTATTTTTGGTTTAGTCAACATTAAATAGTCCGGGTAGCTACCAAACCAAACTGATATTTAAGAAAATAAATCGCTCTGCGTTTACGATGTTGATAAACCATTAATGCTGTAAAAACATGTAATGAGCACATTTCTGCACACTAAAAGTCGGCCTCGAATGTATTGACGGAATTTCCGGAGATAAAATTGATGCCAGGGTTTGATAGTTTTTATGACACGGAGGATGTTTAAGTTTCTATAAACCAACATGAAAAATTAAATGTCGGGCCGCTCATTTCACGAATATAAGATAAATATTTCAATTTGAATTTGCTGTTTACGTGCAGACGGTTAGATTATGGCCCGTCCTTTTTCTGTACCGACATGGGGAATGTTCTACTGTGTCTCGAACGTCACTAGTCACCTGCGTACCTATCTAGTATCTATGTTAGCTGTCTGCAGTCTAAGCTGACGTGCTGTGATCGGGAAGACTTACGAGTTTAATTGCGGAATACATAAGCGTGGCCGGACTCGACACCAAATATCTAACGCTACACAGTAGTTTTATTTTGAATTTTATTTGTGTCGCGCTATTTCGGAACTGAACGTGCGGCACTTGTCTATTACATGGTGGATATGTAATGGCCCACGCAAGCTGGATGCCCGGAGCTATTCCCGCGAAAGTTTTCGTGGAATCCGAGACGTTTTTCTATAATATAATAATTGCATAATTATAAATAATACAGCAACACCAATGAAGTTTTGATTTGTTTGTTTTGAACGTCTCACAGACCTTGTTCCGAAACGGATTTAAACTAATAAATCTTATGGCATGCCAATATAACACAAGGCGTGCAAATAAATGACTAGACAATAAATGTTTCCTAATTAGACTGAATGTCGGGACTGCAGTGGGACACGTGGTGTTATTGACAGGTTGAAGAAATAATGTTGCGCACACGCAGCGGCGCCAACTTCCACAGCACGTGCCAATATTGTATGTACCTACAACAGAGATCTACGTAGACGATCTGCGTATTTATCTCAAGAGGAAGAAACTGCGCACTTCCTCATAGCATTTTCTCTATGACGAAGGCGACGCCCAACTCGAACAGACAGCGGATTGCTAAAATACAGTCTACGTAATCCTCCAAAACAACGTTTCTCCAGTTATTTTAGATATTTACGTCTTTGGCACCAAAGGCGACTACAGAAAATGTGATTAGACTGGTGCGTTTGTAAATTAAACATAAATTATAATGCGGATTTATAAATATCGTATTGAATTGAGCCAGTGACAGTATTCGCTATTTACTTATCTCTCACAAATACTTTCGTAAATTACGAAAGTTGAAATAAAGATCAGCGAATTATTAAGAAGTCAACTGCCAACTAGCTTTGAAGAAGAAAAAAGAAATATTTGTCATAACTATTACTTTAACTAAAATCGCGGGTTACTAACGTGAATATACTGAGAAAAGTTCTACTAGTTTCGAACCACAAAGGGGTTCTTCCTCATGAGCAGCGTGCGCGGTCGCAGCGATGTCGCGCAGCTCACTGAGGAAGAACCCCTCTGTGGTTCGAAACTAGTAGAGTTTTTCTCAGTATATTCACGGAGTAACCCGCAAGTTTAGTTAATTTAGCATGTCTCACGATAGTTATTATAAAAATCGATTACTTACAAAAGTTGTTTCTTTGGATAAAATAAGAGCTTTAGATAAAATGAGGACTGTCAAGTACTTAAACTTATCTAGTCAATTAAAATATGAATGATAGATAGAACTAATGACTAATCATCACATCACTCACACATACATCACAGGGTGACTTTCTTTATAGGGCCTTGGCTTAGGTTTGTATTTATTTACTTAGGTTAACCAATAAACAGTAATTTACTAAATTTTTTTATCCTGTATCTTTGCCCACTCATATTTCATGGCTCTGTTGTTAATGTGGACACAAGAATTGATTTCTTTTGTTTATTTAATAGAGACAGAACTTACCACTAAAGTGTAGAAATGTGTTACAAGTGGGCTTTTGCAAATATTGGGCATAGACAGGCAAATAATTTGAAGAGTGCTAGTGGTCGAAGTCAAGAGGTACAATTTGAAAGTAACGGTAATCGGCTAGAAAAATGTGAAAACATGGCCGATGACAGTCGCAACTCATGATGTTGACAAAACAATACAGGTCAAGTTGATGCAATGTTGATTGTGTGTTGGTTTCTTCTTACGACATTGTTTTGTACAGGTCGAGCATGGGTGACGTTAGCCACAAACGACTCTTACGGTCTGGGAGCCCTGGTGCTGGCGCATTCTCTGCGCCGCGTCGGCTCCTCATACCCGGCCGTGGTACTCATCACACCGTCCGTCACTGACCCCATGAGGTATAATACTTTGTTTTCTTGCATTATAATTATATGATACTGTAAAGGCATTTGTTAAAATATCTACATACTGGAGGATGCTATGAACGACCCATTAGAGTCACTGCATTTTTAGACCATTGAAAAATTTGTAGTTGCTTTCCGTGCAAAATGCGCTAGTAATATTCATCAACCTGGAATTATGTTTTCTTAAGAACCCAAGGACTATATACTACCCTTACTCAAAATAAATCTTATTTCTTCCTACGTATCAGCACTATCAGGTAGATTTGCTATCTGCGAAAAGGCGCGTGTATTTTATTGCCTACAAGTCCTATAAATATTCTGAGAATACATTACGGCAAACACCCACGACAAAGATGCTTCTATTCTTAGTTTTTTGAATGACAAGATAAAATAAAATATACATTGTAACTTATCGGCGTTTGGCATTTCCTATACCAAATGTTATTGAACTTCCTCGCAAATTTTCGGAACGAGAAGATGATGAACTCCACTGACATAAGAATTTTGGGAGGATTAGGCAAAAAATCGATTACAGAAATGAATATCGTGTTTATTTTCATAAAATATATCTAAGAACACTTGATTTCACTTGGTATTCAGACGACAGAGTATATAGAGGTATAACAAGCAATTCAAATGCATTCGGCCTCTCCTTGCACTATAATAATTTGCTATTTTTACTCATCAGCATCACTAAAATAGCTAGTAAAAAGCAAGTCGAGCTAAATGACAGCAACCTATCATTTAGCTCAACTTGCTTTAGCCATTTAAATTCAAAGCCTAAATGAACGGTCATTGAAATTCAATGAACAGTAGGTATGTAGTGCACAGAGTTGAATCTTATTCAGTGCGGTACGAAGATAACACATATTTTTAAATTGCCATTATTGGCTGATTGTATGATTGTCAAAGTACAGTCATACTCCATTATCACCGAGCCAATATGTTTATTTCGCACTTTACAATTCACAAATTTCAATTAAGTGAACAATTTATACAATGAATATATTCACAAAACCAAATAATCGCACGCTTAACATATAACACACACATTCACTCGTCTGTTTTATGTATTCAACTTGGATGTGAGAACGACTACACAAATATACACGTTATGCACAAATTGTCAAAATAATCCAAATATTTACCCATGTACGAACTAAAATCCATATTAAAGTATAAATATTATTCTGGAAGTGCAATATTTATTGATAGGCAGATAAGTGAGGTTCAAGATCAATGACAATTGCTCTTAAGTGGTTAACAACCAACCACCCACAGTTATTTTCAATTCAACTGCTCAAAACGTCAAGGATTCTTGTATTCAGTTAAAATGAATCTGTGTTGGATGTCCTCAGAGAGCGGCTTGGCGGAGTGTTCGCCGAGGTGATCTCGGTGGACGTGCTGGACTCGCAGGACGCTGCGCACCTCGCGCTGCTGCAGCGGCCCGAGCTCGGCATCACCTTCACGAAGATCCACTGCTGGAATCTCACGCAGTACGACAAGTGTGTGTTCCTGGATGCCGACACATTGGTGAGCTTTTTTGGCACCTGTCGCAGACAGATCTGTCTTCTCTCTAAAGTTTAATTAATGGACGTCCTATAACGACGACAGCGCTAATGAATTAAACTAAATAAGATCGGCCATGTTAACCTGTTTACCAACAGCGATTTAGCAAACGGTTTGATGTCTTCTGATCAATATCGATTCTCATTTTAGCATGCTTGTTCGAAATGTTCTGGATCGGTAAAATAAACTTCCAAGTGTAAATATTTTTGCAATATCAAAGAGCAATTTAGATAAACGTCGTTTGGCCGGCGATTGCTTCAATCAATTCTCGTGTAGTAACTGTCGCTTTGAATTAATGTTCGTCGTATAATATGTAGCGTCCAACTCGTCGCTATTAGTGGGACGGCGGATTAGTCGTAAAAGTATGTTAAATTAATGGTCAAACATTAACACTAAGAACATTATACGTGTCAGCCAAATCTGCAAATGTTTAAAGAGGTGATGTGTGATGTCACGGCGAACCTCGACAATAGTCTTCGTGTCAACATGTCTTCTTTGCTGTTTGCAAATCGTTTTCGATTTTTATTGTCCTATTAACGATCATATATAAAAGTCGTTAATTCTATTTCAATGTTTAACTGTTTGTGCGATAAGAAAGTCAATGTTACCGGATGTGAACGTTAGTGCAGTAACACGAGATGACGAGACGCATAACCGTGGCCCAAATATTTTGTTCCCGACAATTTTGGATCGGCTCCAATATACTTACTTTCATTCTTCACTTCTTTTGAAGGCGACGAGTGCTGGGAAAGTAAAAGCAGTATTACACGATATTAACGAACCATTATCGTTTATATCATGAAATTATATAATGTAAACGTGTAGAAAAATTCAATTTATGGATAATATAAGCTCCAATAACAAACAATGAGATAGTGTCTCGATAGAATCCATTGACTCGATGAGTTTTTATTTATCGCAGGTTATTGTGTCAACTCAAAGTTTTTATCCATGCGTAGATAAACGAGTTCTTGATAAAACGTACCAGTCATTAGTAACATATTATGTACATGTTCCTCACGTGGATCTCAACGAAAATTTTGTATAATGAGACCGTTGATTAGATCTATAAAATGTTCCAGACGTGAAAGGTCAAAAGTGACTAATTTATGTTTAATTAATTATGCCTACTTCTCGTTTTACAAAAGTTTCAAATATCAATTATGAAACAGTAGACAGTAGATAGATACGCTTTTTCAGAAAGGTCATCTAAAAATAGTATTTCGAGTGGACTCCATCTTTAGAGACTTTTGTAGGTATCGTATTGACACGCGCAAATCGCTGAATCCAAATTGGTTAATAATGTTTAGTTTAGTTCAGCTTATAACATTAAATATCGGAAATCCGTATTTATGGCTTGGAAGTTTATTACGCCAAATATTCTTGGTAATAAATATCAGGACGTGTATTGAAACTGCCAAATTCTGTATTTAGGATCTTAGAATTTATAGAACATGTTGTTTGTAGGTGGTCCAAAACTGCGACGAGTTGTTCGAACGTGAACAGTTGTCAGCAGCCCCTGACGTCGGCTGGCCCGACTGCTTCAACTCAGGAGTGTTCGTGTTCTCGCCCTCTGCCGATACCTTCGCGAAACTTATCGCCTTCGCACAAGAACGTGGTAGCTTCGATGGTAAGAGAAATCTTAGACAAGAAAAGTATATACTTAGGTAACATTTTTCTTTAAAAAGCGGCTTTAGCAGAAGAAACATTCTTTTAAAACAAATTTAAAGCAAAATCATCCTTATTTACGCAGCTGTAATATATTAATCATTTTAATGCAAAATGTCACGAATACAACGCAGAAGTAATATGAAATGTGTTACTTTTAGCTGGGAATGTTTTCGCGAATTAGCTGGGTCATTTGTCAAGTTCATTCGTATAATGTGTACGTTATAACAGGTGGTGACCAAGGTCTCCTGAACTCCTTCTTCTCCGACTGGGCGCATGGAGACATCAACAAGCACCTGCCTTTCCTCTACAACGTCACATCAGCTGCCTTCTACTCATACCTGCCCGCATTGAAACAGTGAGTTGAGAAGTAGTACAAAAGACAGTGTAATTTCTAGTAACCAAATTTTTTGGGGGTCTGGTATACTTTTTGACTATTTGGTTTTACAACATCTGCGGTCGATGAGGATAGGATTCCAGTTTCGAATTTTACATATGGAAAAATTGTTTTCTGCTTCTTTAATCTCTAGTCACGAGAAAAGCCGACGCGTTCTTTTCTTGGATAATGTTATGGTTTCAAAAGAAAACGTGTTGACGAAGACGGCGTTCTAACACTTATCGAAAACGAATAAAAACATGACTATTGTTTAAAACAACAAGTGATAGGAAAAACTTCATTATAACGTAAGTAAATACAGTTTATCTTGGCACTCTGATCAGCACGAGTGAGAATACCTGATGCATTCACACGCCTCATATTGGCGTTGGCGATCTTAGGCATTGTGTCGCATACTCGCTTGTAATGTGTACGTCATAAAGTATAAAACTCTATGACGTAAACAAAATTATTTTAGATTTTAAAGTAGTCCAAATCATCCCACGGAGGCTAAAGTTATCCTTGAGCTCATGAAATCGGTTGGAAGTTTGGTATGTGATGTTAATATTTTATACTATCAGACAATACAAGATAATACTTATTCTGTGAAATATTACAGCACTAGCAGGGGTGGGTCTTTATCTAATCATTGCATAGTATCAGCCCGAGATTGGTTTCCTTCATTTATTTATTAACTTTGAAATACTATACACGAAACAGATTTAAGGCAATTAATTTTAGTTAATTAGGTATACAGGCCAAAATTATACGGTCATGGCGCGGTCGCCGTGTGCATGTGAAAGGGGCCTTAGGTTAACTATCTTTCATTACGAGAACTAAAGACGAAAATCACGGAGAGCTAAATTGGCTTCTTGAAAATTTCCTCTTCCAGTTATGGGCAGAACCTCAAGATCATCCACTTCATTGGAGCGGCCAAGCCATGGTTGCAACAGTTCAACTTCGAATCGGGATCCGTCGATGCGCCCGAGCACATCCGAGGTTTCCTCCAACTTTGGTGGGACCTCTTCGTGGGACAAGTGCACTCCCAGCTTGACACCGGCATGGTAAGTCGTTGAACACTTTTCATAGATACTAAGAAATATAGTGAATATTGAAGGAATATAGAAAACCGTCGGTTTAAGTACTTTTGAACTTAGTCCCTAATGTGAGTTTTTTTACCGATCGCTAATATTAACTACCTCTACCAAACACGCGCCGTCAGCGCGCTGTCTGTTTTAACGTTAAAGCGAAAAAATTGGTAAAAAATCTAACTCTAAATAGTTAATTCTAAATGGCTTTGGTGATCTTCTAAGAACACAATATGAAAGTGAATCCGGCTATAAATAACACAAGACGAGCCGAACAATGACTAGTCCGTCTAGTGTATGCACACTTGTTTACATGAATATTCAACGAATCGAAATAGAACAAATGAAATCGATATTCCCATATCGAATTACGACAAAAATAAATAATACATTCAATTGTAACCTCAAGATGTGATAAGGATTGCATATGCGATTGATCTAGATATTAATATCCGTATCGATTACCATATTGTTGACATCGATACTGTGTGGTTTGTCCTGACCGCGAGTATCTCGTGGTGTCTCGTATGGTCTAGTAAATCGATCCATTGTCATTACACCCTCCGATCTGAACACTACAACATGTTTTCCAAGCATTCACGGAAGGACTCTAAAGTTGCAGAGGTGAGACTTACACATTTCAAATTGAGCTTTCGACTCTTCTTTTAAAGACTATAATAGATTTACTACCTCTGTATCCATGTGAGTAGGTGAACACTTGTACAGATTTTAAATATTTTATCCTTTTACTTAAGCACCGTGTTGGGGTGTTGTCTATCCCTGAGTGACTAAACAGTAACCTCCGACCTGTAACAATAGCTTGCACTCTGCGCTTGTGCACCGTTCTGCTACCTGACGCACCCTTTGTTTGAAGCATTCTTTTATTCGTGTGACATAATATTTCTCCAAAATACTAACATATTCTAACTTTCAACTATGACGTCTGTCTGCTTTTGCACGGTTTGATTAATATTTGTATGGGACACAGTACTTAGATGGTGTTGGTATTTTGGTGGAATACTCACCGCGGAATCTTGATAAACATACCAAATAAATTAGTTGCTTTTTTATTTTATATTGTTTGACTAGTTATTCCTAGATTTATTATTAGATTAAATTGGTTGTTTATTTAGTGACGCGTATTAAACACTAATTGCCGCTTGAACAAAGTATTTGCACAGTTTAGTGAGATAGCTAGTGCGAAGCTTAGTTCAAGTGTTTTTGTGCATGCATACTACTGAGTTGTTTCACTTCAACCGATAGGTTGAGGTGGCGGACACACATGAAGGCCCCCCTGCGTTACCTCCACATGACGTGGGACAACAATACCACTATCAGCCCACTCCGGACCCTGAGTCAGAATTCGCTTGGCACCATCCTGACACGAAAACTAAAGAAGAAACACGAAAGAAAGATATAGATATCACTGAGTTTTTCGATCCATGGAAGATTTATAGAGGACATATACCACCAAATACGAAAGAAGAAGTCAGCCATCACGAAGAATTAGCAAGGATAGACGATCATGAAGAAATTAGAAAGTATGCATGGGAATATCAGGCACAAGGACCTCCTCCTACATACACAGAACACAATCCGAACCAAGACAGACAACGACATTATACAGACAATTGGCAACATAATATTCAACATGGACACAAACAACAACATCAACATCAAGGTCACTGGCATCAAGAACATGACCACAGCTGGGGCAGCCATGACAACAATAACCAAAATTATAATCAACACACTCATGCTCATCATTCTCACGATCACCATGATCAACAAAGTCATCACCATGATGATCATACGCATCATAGCCAAGACTGTCATGATCATCATAGTCCAGTCCATTATGATCATCATGGCCATCACAGCCAGGATCATTATTTTCAACACAGGCATGACCACAATGATCAACATGGACATGATAACCAGCATCATCACAGTCATGATCATCATGGCCATCACAGTCATGATCACCATTACCACCACAGTTCTGAAAATCACGAGCACCACAGTCAAGGTCACTATGAACATCACAGTCATCAGACCCATGATTATCACGACAAATCACACGACCACTACCAACAACTAACACAAATCAACGAGAACACTAGTCATACACAGCACATTGATTCTGTATATAGAATAGACAATCAGAGACATGATCACAAATATTATGACAATTCAGATCCAAACGCACAAAACTTTCACGAAATACATAAAGTATTAGAACAACATGTTCAAGAGAAGAAAGTTAAGAAACGCAACCGCCGCAGACGACTACATCGGATAGATGTTTATAGAGAACGCATTATGAATGGGGAGGTGACTGGAAGTGAGAGTGACGACTTTGATGACATAGTACCAAGGCACCCCTATGATGGCTTCTACTTAAGGCACAGAGTTACTGTGGACGCTCGAGGTCGAAAAGTGTGCTCGCATGAAGTACCACCCACTCCATCTCCTTCTCCCCCACCGGACTCACCAGTTCACGATGACTCACACCTACCAGAAGAACCAATACCAATGGACACTAATGTTTCAGATGACCAAGTAAGTGACACGTCGAAATAACACTCAACATTCTCAGGTAAAACTGTTTTATTGTTACTAAGCTTAAGTGCCAAAGTGTTTGCCATTATACCGTAAGTACAGATTGTAGACTAGCTTCGCATGCTCACCACTTGATTGTACTCTGCACGTACTAAACTATTTGTTAACATTCTTCCTTTAGAATTGTAATAATAATAAAAATGTAGTCGTATTGTTTGTAAGTTTAAATCCAGTAACTACATAAGAATAACCTCTGTTACAGAGTGGTGTGGCTGGCAATCTTGCTCGCGTGCTGCCGGGCGCTGCAGGCCAGCGTGAGGCTTTGGACGAGCTGTCACGTCGCCAGGGCTGGGAGGCCGGCAATATTGACTACATGGGCGCGGATTCCTTTGCGAACATTTGGGCAAAGATCTCACAAACACTGAGCAAGCCCCGCACCTCACCTGCTAAACAGTCTCCTCCTAGGGAAGCAACCCCACAACCAGCTCCTGAGCAGGTTGTAGTTCAGTCTGGAGAAGTAGTGCAAGAACCAGTGGCAGAACAAGTCGAAGTGGCAAAGGAAGTGGTTCCTGCGGAGAGCCCCGTATCTGAATCAGTAGAAGCACCTGCACAACTACTGACTTCACATTGGCCAGCAGAGCCTGCACCTGCACCAGTAGAGGCCGCTACTGCACCAGTTGAGGCATCACCTGCTCAAGTAGACGCTGCACCTGCACAAACAGACACTGCAACTGCACCAGTGGAGGCTGCGCCTGCACCTGCACCTGCACCTGTTGAGTCTGCTCCTGCACCTGTAGAGGCTGCTCCTGCACCTGCGCCAGTAGAGGCTGCTCCCGCACCTGCGCCAGTAGAGGCTGTGCCAGAGCCAGTAGCAGCTGCACCTGTACCAGTTGACGCTGCACCTGCACCTGTAGAAGCTACTCCAGCACTAGTTGAGTCTGCACCTACCCCAGCAGAGGTGGTGCCTGCTACAGTTGAGGCGGTATCTGCACCAGTAGAGGCTGCTCCTGCACCAGTAGAGACTGCTCCTGCACCAGTCGAAGCGGTGCCCGCAGTAGTTGAAGCAGCTCCCGTCGCCGTAGAATCAGCTTCAGCAGCAGCAGCAGCTGCCGCGGCAGTGGAGGTTGCTGAAGTACCTGTGACAGTTGAAGCTGTAGCACCAGTTGAAGTTTCGGCCCCGGTTGCCGAAGTACCTGTAACAGTAGAGTCTGCAGCACCTGTAGAAGCTGCTGCTCCAGCCCAAGAGCCAGTCGCTGCCCCGGAGGTAGCTCCACCAAGTGAAGTTCCTGTATCTGTGGAAGCCATTGTCCCAGATGTATCTGCGCCAGTAGAACCTCCCGCTGCAGCAGCAGTGCAGTCAGAAGCCCCGAAAACCCCTGAAGCTGTAAGTGTTGCGCAAAAGACTGAAGACTCGCCTGTGCAGAGCAGCCCACCGCTATCAGCTTCGGACAGCCCGCCCCTGGCCCACACTCCGTCCAAGGAAGAGGCAGCTGCACCCCTAGCTCCCGCTGCTAAATGTGAGTATACGCACAGAGGCGAGCGCGCCACGAACAGATAACAGCTTTGCACTGTTTCTCACAGAGTTCATTTTGCAGTTTTCAGACTTGTACTAATATGTTTATAGTTTAGCTGCATCCGTTTTACGTGGCCCGGTCTGCTGACGTATGTGAATAGCTTAGAAGGCCGTCACGTAACTCGATGTGTCCACTTGTTTTCTTTTTGTGCCGTTTTGTGATGTTTGGTTTTTATGTTTATTTATCAGCATAAGTTTCAATTCGTTGTTATTTCACCCAGCTTCCGAGGAGGCAGCGCAAGAGACGCGGCTTTGATAGATCAGGTAATAATCATTATTTTACTTGGACTCAACGCGACTTCATAATCGCGCTAAAGGGTTCTGGGTTACCGTCGGTGGAGGAACTGTATATGTTTGTGAATAAAGCTTCGACATTATGTGAAGTCTACCAATCCTAAACACATCTCTTTTGATTTCCTGTTTGACAAAAATGTCTTTCTAAAAAAATCTACCTAAGTAATTGAAATTCTTCATTGTTGTTTATTCGTTTTCGTACAGAAATATTTCGTGGTTGTTGGGTTGCGTCCAAGTAGATGCAGATTGTAGGGATACTTCGTCGAACACTCATAAAGCTATTTCTGGAGAAAATATAGCGGTTCCTCTAAATTGTTATTATAAATGTCAAATTAATTAGCTGAATGAGTTGTCACTGTGCAGTTGCATCCGATCTCATTGATGATGCAACTACGCATGTCTGTGTGATGCACCATGGAGCTAGTTGCAACTTCGGAGAGGCATTTAGTATTTACACTATAATTATAAGCCTCTGGACGAAGTTGTAACAGGTTTTTTCAATGCTTTATGTACGTTTTTGTTACGCACATTGCAAGGAACATTATTCAAGCTTCTCATAGCGACACACCTTCACGTAGACTGCGCACAATTTCGTTCACACCATGTAGAACCTTTATAAACGTAATTAAAGTTAAATATTCACATACCTAGATACTATTACTTCGACCTATATTAAATGTAATGAATTGCCCTCCCTGTCAAAATATTGATTCCAGAAATAAAATAATAATCCTTGTAATGGTCATTTAAGCTTTGAAACTGACTTCACTAAACTGACACAGTTCTAACTTTCCGCTTGCATCGTTTCAAATTAACCAGTAGCTATGTTTTCCCTCGACTTTGTTCCAGGCCCTAACCGAGCTTGCTCTCTAATGTGACCGCCATACTAACGCCACGTCTTATCGCTCGAGAGAATAAAGGCGAGAATAAAATTGGTTGTGTAGCCGAGGAGCGTCGTAAGCCGGCGGGCAAGCTGAAGCTCAGCCCTCCTGCCGCCGCCGACCCGCTCCCCACGCCCGACAGCGAGCTCGAGGACGCGGCCGCGCTCGCCTCCGACATCATCGCGCGAGAGCTGCTCACGCCAACCGTCACCGCCGCTTCCCCGCCCGTCGCCCAGTTGCCTGCTGCGCCCGAGAACTCCCGTCTGGCCGTGGAGGAGCCCGAGGTGCCCACGCCACCCGTCGGCGCAGTATCACTAGCACAGATTGGCGTCAAAGTTCCGCCTAAGGGCAAATCCACTACAGCAGCGCAGATAGAGTCTTCAATCACGGAGACGGTGACGCCGCCGACGCCCGATGCTCCCACTGCCCCTGTGACTCCTGCTATCCCGACGCCAGCGCCGTCGCCGGCTCAGCCCAGTCCACCATCAGACGCACCTAAGAAAAAAGTTGTAAAGAAAGTGGTGAAAAAGGACAAGGAGGGCGCTGCCGGCGGCGACGCGCCCGTCCCGCCGCCGCGCAAGAAGGAGAAGAAGCCCAAAGAGAAGTGAGCGGTGGCGACTCGCTCCCGATAGTTCCTCTGTGCCATAATCGTAGCCTTTCTATGTTTAATGTCTACTTATTTAATTTTCGAATAATTATGCTTTTATGTATCGCGTAATTTTTACTATAATATTATGTTTAGAGTTAATTTATACTCACCATCACGCGGCAAATGTATTGTTTCGTTTGATTTTATATCTTTACTTTTTCTTTTATTAATTTTATCATTATTTATATTTTTAACAGTGATGATAATCGGTTATATTGTTTTAAAACTTGATTTACCAAAGGACGAGACGTATTTATTATGAAAACGAAAGTTTTATGAAATTTTTATATTAAAAGTCTATTTTGGAATACTATTCGTATTTTTATTTTATTTGTAAGGTATTTTATCATACACTGTTTGGTAATACCTAATGTGTATAAATGAGACTAGGTACTTCGTTGATTTAAAAGTCTATCTTAACCAATTAGGTCCTGGTCCTGGGTTCGATCCCCGAGTTGGCAAAATGAACAAAATAATCTAATCAACTGCCGTCTAGTATTTATTTGCAAATAGACATCCGACACGACACCTTAATACTAAAATCAACCTTGAAACAGAAATCATATCAGTAAGTTACTAAAATAACTTAGTAGGTACTTAACTACTGAACATGAGAACAATCAAGAGAGAATAATGAATTAATAGTTGCCAAAAACAAAATAATCTTATCGATATAATATAAATGTGTGTTTTTCACGATTGTGGTTAATGATAGGCACGCGTTAGCCATACAAGTGTACACTAAAATTATATAATACGTAAGTATGTCAGTAAACTCTGATAAAATTATTTATAAGACAGTCTAGGGCAGAGACTGAAATATTCAGACGCCACTGATTTCAGGGTCATGGCGATTAGAGAGTCGCGATATTACCTACCTAGTCGTGTTACATAGAAAGATAAGAATATAATCAGCAACGAATTACCACGAAAATTAAAAAGAACCTGTGTTGGGTCAGGTATTTTTCCGAAGCGTATATAGATATAAGTACCGAACTAATTAGGTACTTATATCTATATTCACATCACCAGCCTGTAATGCCCACTTCTGAGCAAACAAAGCCTCTTGTCACACGGAGAAGGTTTGAGCATTTATCACCACGCTTGCTCAATACGGGTTGGCGATTTCAAACTTATAATTAGAAATTATAAGCCCAGATTTCCTCACGATGTTTTCCTTGACAGTTTGTCAGTGATGTCTGAATAAATCTTAGAAAGTAGGTAATTTTTTTTATGTCATAAACGATCAGACGGATCACCTGATGGTAAGCAATCGGCGTCGCCCATGGACACCTGGAACTGAAACACCAGAAGCGTTACAAGTGCGTTACCGGCATTTTGGGGATTAGGAGTTTAAGGATGGTTGGGGATTCGGGGATTGGGGAGATTGGGAAAGGGGGGAGGGAGTTGGGCCTCCGGTAACCTCACTCGCACGACGAAACACAATGAAAGCGTTGCTTCACGTCGGTTTTCTGTGAGGCCGTGGTATCGTCTCCACGTTTGACAGAACTGAAAGGGCAGTTTACAAGGTTCAGGTTTATCAGAGAGAAGTGTCGAAAGTTAAAGTTAAAGTGTAGCCGGCTCTCGCGAGCTTACGACACAGCATCGGCGTCTAAATCTGTCGTCGGCGGTATTTCCTGGCTGGCCTTCAAACCTTCAAGAAAAGAGTGTATTCCTTCTTAAAAGGCCGGCAACGCACCTGTGACTCCTCTGGTGTTGCGGGTGGCGGAGCTGATCGCTTACCATCATGTGATTCTTCTTCTCACCCATTCCATTATAGATCTTATTTCCCAGTCTTAAGACACCATGTTTATTTAGTTGCTGGATGGGAACAAGGGAGGGATCTGGTGTCGTTACCATGGCAGCATGGCAAGTCCATGCCACATACTTAAAGTTAGCTATATTACATTGTTTTTTGTTGGGATTTCATTAAAGTAAATTATCGTCCTTAATTAAAGTGACTAAACAGTTAAGGCTGTAAACGTTGTAGACAGCAATATAAAAATAATCACCCAGTGTCACTTAAGTTTTTTAATGGCGTAGGGCGAACGAGTAGATAAGAGCAACGGATGGTAAGCAATCGGTGCCCGCCATGGACACCCGCGACACTAGGAAAGTTGCAAGCACGTTGCCGGTAGTAGGCACTAGTTTGTTCCTATATTAATCAATCCTCCTCCATGCCAGTTTCGGTTACGGCAACCGTTTCGTGGCTATTGGTCTATCGTCTCTATGTGCTACTTTTGATAAAACGCCGTGTTGATGTGATTTATATCTGGTACAAACCAGGTATAAATTTGAAGAAAAAAATTACACAAGTAATTATTACCATCTTTTAGAAAAAAAAACTTGGAAAAATCTGGCAAAGAAATGTAAAAGTAGAATAAAAAACTACAAAAAGGATCTCTCCGGCGGGGAATCGAACCCCGGTCTCCCGCGTGACAGGCGGGGATACTGACCACTATACTACCGAAGACGTGATAACTAGTGACGAAATAGTGCACTACTAACTGCTCAATAAATTCAAGCATTAACTTTTTGTTATTTTTGAAGTAAATAATAGATTAAAATAATAAATAGCATAACGAATCATTGACGAATTAGAGTATTAAACGAAAAAATAATTTATTTTCAATATCATATCAAAACAGCGCCACCTAGTTTGTGTATGTGTAAATACTTACAAAGCTGATTTCTGATTTTGTTTATTGGTTTCAATCATAGATGGCGGTAGCATATAACATTTTTGTATGATAGTACATAATTCATTATTTTACGAAGTAGCGGAGAACCTAACAGGTTACCAGGGTTCCGGCTGGACGTGCTAAAGAAGGAACGGGGTGGTTTTTAGTCAGTAAGAGTCTGACACTCCGTCCCGCCTCACCCAGGCGGGAGCAGTCATTCGATGATTATCCCCCTTTAAAAAAATATATATAGGTATATATTTTACGTAAAAAAACCTTGAGTTAAAAAAAAGAACAATGAGACCTTAAGATTTCAATCGGCCGTCATTTCAGATTACACATTTACCGTTCGACAATGCTAATCACAATTTTATTGTTCTATGGGTTACGTAGGACCTACCTTCTTCTAACTAAGTAGGTATCTATTACCATAAAAATACTATCCAGGATAGGCAATTATCGAGTTTTAATATTGTTTGTGATCTGATTAGGGGTGATTAGCTTATGATTCAAAAAGTTTGCTATCGATTTGTTTCAAAGTTCAGGAGTTTGGTTTTCAAAAAGATATAAAATCACCACCTACATACACGACGCATTAAAAAATATGTTAGGTACTTTGTGCTTCGTCTAACAAACTAGACTGCCCACGACTTTATTGAGTGGTTCTGGTTCAATTCTTGCGAGGAGTATTTTTTTTATTTGTATTTATCAAGCATTTATTAAATTTTTAGGTTTTTAGAAAAGAGACATTGATTCATAGTTACTTTAGTAATCTGTTGTTATAAATTAATTAAGTTACTTATGTAAATGTTTAGGCACCTACGAAAATAAATACCTACGTAAATAAACCAGATAAAATTCATGCTGATGTCTCCATAAAAAATGTATCTGGCTGGTAGGTAGCCCTAGTTAGCGACTCGTGAGAGGCGTGTCTGAAACTGCGCGGGGCGGTGAGCGGAGTCTGTAATTTCAAACAAAATTGCAGAGAGAAACAAACAACAGCCTTGTTTCACTGCGCACCGATCTTGTTAAAGTTATGTACCTTAATTATAATCCGGGTACGTATCATGTCATAGTTACTATGTTAGCATAACAATCAGTTCTTATATCTGTGTAATGGACTAATGAACATTAACAACCGTCTTTAGGTATTCGTGACATTTGTTGGGTTAGTTTTTCGACTTAACCTTTGTTTTTAAAAAGATTTCAAAATAAATCTTTTGTTAGAAATTTAGCTAAAGAAATCTTTATTAGTTTACAAATTACCTACCTCAAACTTAAGAACGGAAACTTTATATCCAAATCGAGAGAAAAACAAAAACAAAAGTGATTCAAATTAAATTAAATTTTTCGATAAAATATAGGTAAGTAAGTACCTAGACATTAAAGTTTGAACAAAAGTCTTCATTGACATCTTCACGAAATCCCATAAAAATACTTCTTTAATTTCAAAATTATTTTATACTATGTAAGGATAATAAAACACAGTGGAAACAGAATCGTTTAAGGACCGCTTTCCGACGCCTTCAATTGACGCCAGTGAGGCAAGTGGCAAGTGCAGCGACAGCGAGTTTCACAAGTTTCACACCCCATCGATCGTAACTCGTTCGTGATTCGATATCGACTTGTTTACACGCCTGTTAGTCACAATGAGCTTCTCATTATGAGACGGTGGCTGCCTGTGGGTGGTCCTACACTACATGTACCTATACAGACATCGTTAGCACTACTAAGTACCAATCTCACTCGTTACTCGTAATTAGTATCGAGTTTGTATCGGTACTTTTTTACTTGCTAACACTTCAAAGCGTTATGTTATGTATCTTACATTCTTTGTTCTAAACATTATAATTTTTCTTACTCAAATTGTTCTATTGTTATTTTTTACCCAAATATAAGAAGGGTGTTTTTTATTGTTTTTTTTTACAAAAAATGGATAAAACGTTGACCTAATTAATTAGGTTAGTAGGTCCTACTATTTACATTTTCAAAATAATTATTAATAATTTTTTTTATTACTTAAATACCTAACTACTTAAATATAGTATTCCTTCAATATAAGTTCATATAAAAATATAATATGAATTAGCATTTATAATAAAATGCTAGCTAAAAATAAAAAATGTACTTTACATACATACTTACAGTTTAAAGTTTCACCGTTACAATGTCGCCATCTAGTGAACACCGCAAGTAACTTTAAAAAGTTTGTGGCCTCTGCTCAGTCATCATCTCTTCTCCCACTCAAACAAAAATATTCGTTCACAAACGCACACATACAACGGCAACGCTACGCACGCGGTGACTCGGTGCAACACAAACAACCAGTTTGACAGGAACCGTGGTGCGCGGTGGTAGTGTCGCTTTGTTTCGTGAAGTAACATTGATAATATCAATGTTTATAAACACATTTTGATAAGAAACAGAAATCAAAACGTCTATTCATGAATAAAATCAAAGAGTTTCGTAGATTTACGTGTTAATTCGCGAGTTTATTTAGTTTTTCTGTTGGATTTGTACGTTTTATTCGAGTGTGTAATCTTGTATCGGCGAGAACTCAGCATCGTTGATTCTGTTGGGACGGTGGATGAAAATGTGAAACAAATGTGTGTTTGTGAACTTTACGTAGTGCTGGACTTGGAGTTGGTACTTTGAGACGATTGTGGTGGTTCAGAGTTGGGCCAATATGAGGTGTTTTGTGTTCGTGTTACTATTGCCTGCGTGCCTGGCACACCTCAATGTTTACCTGAGTAGCGCCGAAGTGTGGAGGTTATTGGGTAAGTTCAGTTCCATTGTACATTGCCCCCGTGTATCATCAGCTGCACATTGTTGCAAGTTGTATCGCGGATATCGATAATCGGGAGTGATAAGCCGCTCGGGGCCACGCTTCCAAAATAGTTCACGTTTTAAAATAGATAGCTACGATCATGTAAACGTAAATTGTTTAACTAGATTAACGAAAACAAACTATAAAACTACTTTTAGAACAACATAAATCAAAATAAACTGGCTACCAACGATAGGTAATTCGTTATCGCGTGAAGGTTATGTTGTATGTGTAATGTATATCTATCCGTGATAAATTAGCTGGCTGGATAACACCGATCAACGATTCAAATGAATTATTAGCTCAATATAGTGTTACAGTAGGTATTCTATTGGTCTTAGTGCCAATCTTATCATGTTTTGATAAATGAATGCATGTCGTATACTCTGTATGTCTGTCTGTCATTGTCACAATATGAAAATATCAATGATTGTATTATGATGTTATAATTCATAACATTTGTCAACCATGCATCTGGCCGCGTAATTAATTGTTTTGATTACCTAGGTACGTTTGGTAGTTTTTCGACCTCAAAGCCCTTGCCATACCTACATGGGTAAGTAAGTACCTAAACAAACATATTTAGTACATTACTAATAATTAGGTAACTAAGTACGTAAGTAGGTGTAATATTTTATTTCTAGTTATTGGTAATTTTACTAATTTTCTTTGATAAAACGCAAATCGTTGAAACCACATCATGATCCTTCTAACTACCTATTTGAACAGCTTCTCTCTACAATGAAACGACGATTGCCATAGATAGTATAATAAAAAAAGTTTAATATTTCTGTAATTCAAACAATTTATAAATTGCAGTTAGGTTAGGTCCTAATCTTTTTTTGGACTAACGGGCATAGGTAAGGAATTAAAGAATAAAGAATTAACAGTACATATTATAATTAAAAGACTAACGGAACCCTCGTTGGCCTTAACAGTCGGCAAAGTAAAAACATTATTTATAATAGTTAATCCTACGGGCACATTGTTCTAAGTCGACGTCGAGGAATTTAATCCTCAAGATTTTAATTAAACAAACGTCACAACTAATGCCAGTGTACTTGTCAATTGTGACTTCCAGGTAAGCTAAAGTGACATTTTTGAAAGGGCCCGTGCGCATAGCAGGTAATTAGCTTAGAGATGTGACGCTTCTTGCATTGAGCGAGTTTTTGTCCCGCCCTATTGTATGAACCTGCCTCGGCCATAGACTGCAATCCATCTTTGTCAACGACGAAACCATCTGCCTTTTGTTCTTGTTTAAAAATTAGAATAATAATAAACAATATTAAGGACGCAACGGGTCCATCGCTATCCTTACGTGATAAATAGGGCACTTAAGTTGACGATAGTTGTAATATTTCTCTCGAAATTGAGCAGTAAGTAATTATAAACTTATTTAAATTTAAAATTTCCTTACGAAGAACAAATAATGAAGGATAATTTTGAACTTTTCAGTTCCCTTTGTGCTTTACGAAACATAATTTATTGCCAACGATTGTAATGTAAAAATTAACATATTACGTATCTTTAACCCTTAACAACCCACAAGTGTCTCGCGGACACAATTTTGCGTTTATGTTTCCATAAAAACTAAAGTTTTTATTTTTATGAATTGGCCTTCTATCTAATTTATCGCCAATGTTTTACGAATCTAAATGTGCAATGAAAATATTTGTAACGTGAATAATTTATTATTTTTGGTCAATAAACGAAAATAGTACTTCATCAACCCAGAAGTGTCCAACAGACACAATATCATTTTATTTGATTCAAGTGTGAAGGTAGATTGTTTTATTTACATTTACCTATAATCTTATGGTGTCGGGTAGGCAATAGCGGTTGCTAGACCTTTGTTTGTGTTATCATCATAGTTTTTGTAATCGTAACACGTACCAGTAATCAGAAACTCTTGTCATAATGTAGTCATGTTCTAATTCGTTTTTATTGAATGTTATGGCTAAACGGCAACTAACACAAAGTGAAATACAACGTGCCCTTGTTGAAAGTGACGATGAAAACATTTTTGTCCATGAGTGCGATAGTGATGATGAGAATTTTGCTGTTGACAGCTATTCTGATAGCGAAAGTAATGTCACAGAACCAGCATCTGAAAACGATGATGAACAATTATGGAGTAAGAGTGATGATGATTACAAGAATAAGTCTCAATTTACACTTATAAAGGAAGAGATAATTACGTGGAAATCAGAACCTAACAGGCAAAACCGAACGCCTCGACACAACATAATTCGCGGTGGTATTCATACGGTGATTCTTCCTCCTCCGGGCCAAACTATAATAGATCTGATAGACAGTTTCAGCCTTTTTTTTCGACGATCACGTATTAAAATACTCCGAGGTCTTTTATTGACTATAAGCGTCAATAAACAGGGAGGTGTGGATTTTAGAGAATACTGGTGCCCTATCTTTGGCAATCCAATATATCGAGCTACAATGGAAAAAAGAAGAAGCGTTGTAATATTTTCCCTTCGAAATTATCAAGTGCTTCTAAACAGTGTTGTGCTGAATGCAAACGCAATACATGCACTGAATATTCTGAAAAAAATAATAATTGTAATATCTATAAGTAAATAAGTGTAAATACACATTACTGAAATACATTATACTGTCTTTTTCATTCAAAATATCTTTCTTTTCTTTCATCATACCTTATAATTATAAAATGAGTCTGTTGGACACTACTGGTCAGTTACGTCACAAAAGCTTTCTGGATAGTTAAGGGTTAACGCGTTATCTGGTAAAGCTTCCATGGTGCGTACAGGCCTCGTATCGGGCTATTTGATCGCAGCTACGGGCACATGGTACTTACCTACAAGTAATTTATGGTCATTCCATAGAATAAGTCAATAAACCTAACCCTAAAAATGTTTGGAATTATAAACAAGAATGAGTAACAAGCCGGGATGTCAAAAGACTGATATTCCGACCACTTGTTCAGATAACTACCTATACCCAATTGTTTAGGTTTATTTCCAATAATTACTATCGATACTCGAACAGTTACCTAATTAAAATTAATTATTTAATAGCATAAACAATACTATGTTCTATTAATAATGGCAGTATCCGTTGCTACTTGATAATCTCTAACGCCTTTGGCGCGCCAAGGCGGTATTGAACGACAGGATAGTTTATGGTCACCTGTTATCGTCCATCAGAATTCTGTAGAACTTACGAACCAACAAACAACCAAGTCTTGTCTGCTCAGCGTTGTACAACCTTTTATCTTAGGTTTTACGACCGTCGCGTCGTGGCAAAAGGTATTATAGTCATGTGACTGAAAAAAGCACGATAAAAAGCATGTTGGCATTACCATAAATTATTATTAGAGCAGATACTCAAAACAACTGCTTTTTGTTCATTACAATGCTTCCAAACTGTACCATTATTTTATTTTCAAAGAAAGTGGCCTTGCATTGTTCCTCGAACAGTCCCGCAACCAGGAACGTAGGCGCAAACCTATAATATTTCCTTGCTTGATACGGGCCAGATAACACGCTCGCTACTCGTTACTTATAATGCTGACTTACTCGTAAGTTTGGTTTGAAATACAGAACAAAAGCAATTTTGCGGTGATAGTTATAATGATAAAAACAAAGCAAAATAAATCAGAACAGTTGAACTTATTACTACGGCAATGATCATTTCTGTAACCACAGCATTTTTGCTAAATTGCATCACGTAACAAATCTCTCCTAGCGTTTCTATAACTTAGCTGTTTATACATTGATTGATTTACTAGAAAAATGTGTAGGTAACTACTTACGTAGTATTAAATTCCTGCATCCGACGACAAGATGGAGAAAAAATATCTTGTATCATCGGCTCGGGTTACATGGCTAGAGCTGTGGTGGGCATAACAAAAAATCTTGCGTAATTCGATACTTAGGTGCAGTGTAGGATTCCATCTACACCTTAACCTCAGTACACGACTACATCAATCATTTCATTGCAAAGCACCGGTACTGCCAGTTTTTAACACTTAAAGAAGGACACAAATTCAAATGACGTTTTTTTACATTTCCGCTCTTCTTATCTTTTAAAGGTCCCTCGATTTTTAGACCTATACTAATATTATCAGTAATACGACCATTCTACTGCCTACGTGTAAATCGCTGCAGTCCCAAGCTTATGCTTCCCATCCGGCCATCATCTTAGATAACATTTTTCTTTCACCATTCATGTAGGTATATGTAGAAACTACAATAGAATAAATAAAAACAGTCCGGAATAGACGTTGTTATTTTAATAAATACTATTAATGCTGCATTCAGCCCGCGCCATTCGGATCTCGTCCCCCAAAACGAAGACGTCGTTTAGAGAATTAACAATGAAATATTTCAATAAACAGCCAGCGACGGCGCAATATAAATATGGGCTCACGTCCTTCTCGAAACTATTCTTTATGTAAATACAGTTGACACGCGGGATGATATGGAGTGGGCCCTAAATAAATTTAATTTCACGGGCGGTTGGTTAGCAGTTTTTAATCTGTGGGGGTGTTGATATGTGTCCCGCGGGCAGGTGCGGCTTAGACAAAACACGGTAAGCTTACGTGATCGGAATGAGAGAGGTTAATTAAAAATGTAATTGATATTATGTAAAAGAAAATTAAATTCGTGTAACTAACTAACTACCTACTGGCGTATGGAAGTGTTGCACAGTGCAAAGCGTGGTAAATGCTAATTAGGAAATTAACATGGCTGCTTCTATCGAGTAATTTCATGTCACGTACGTCAAACATAAAACCGCATGATTTATCTGTGAATGCATAAATGTTGGTTGTCGAATGGGAGGTTAATTTAAAAGCAATTATGAAACCCCTGTCGACAGACTGGATAGCAGAAATAGAATTAGGCGCACATGCAGCAGAGCGAGCGAGCGACAGACAGACGGATTACTTACTACCTATGTGCATTGCATGAATAT